CTCCCCAAACACGGTATTTCCTCCTACCCGTCTTCCTTAGGACAGTTTTTTTCTTGTCCTTGTAGTCTCAAAATTGAACAAATCTCTATGCTAGAACATTTGGTCCATTTTCAGTTGAACATAACTATGAGGACACTTGGATTTTAAACTTTATTTCATGCTTTCGGTTTCTTATTTGTAATTTGAACTTTCTAAAACAATTTTCATACCTTTCCCATCTATAAATATGGAAGACATGTGACTGTTATTTGTGGCTATCTCACCATAATTTGTATATGCACCACAACTTTATAATTTTTCCTTCTAAGACTTAGATAACCTAAATGTGGCTTTTTATTAAAGAAATTTAACTGCCCCCAGTTCTTTCATAAATTTGTACTATATTGCATTAAAATTTTATAAGCTACACGACTATGTTGTCTACCTTGTCTTTTAAAAGCTCACTTAATATCCTTTAGATTGCAAATCACTATTTGCCCACCTGCCTTTAAAAAATTTCCGCACGAGTGTCTTGACTGAATATATAGGAGTGCATCATGTGTTGCAATGACCATGGAGGTGGAAAGGCATTGGATGCCCTGGAAGTAGTTACATTTGTCTGTTAGCCATCATGTGGGTTCTGGGAACCAAACCGGGGTCCCTCTGCAAGAGCACTCTTAGCCACTGAGCCAACTCACACATAATGTTTAAATCTCACGGTTGTAGGTCTTCTAGGAATTTGGGTGGGCTACTACTGGTGGCAAACTCCCAATTTTTCAGAAATTTCTTTATTCTATGGTTATCCTTAGTCTCTCATGTAGGTAGCAGAACCTATGACCTTGAAATTGAAGAGTTCACAGGCATGTTTTCATGCCATTTAGGACAGAGCTATGGATTCATGTTGCTCATCAAGGCTCAGAATTTTCTTCATTGAGACAGTGGCATTTCCCATGCTTCCCAACTTTTCCTCCTACAGTCCTGCTTCTGTCTCTGCTGAAATTCTGTCATGACAAAGATCCTAGTTCTAAAAGTACTTGACCATTGTGCCAGTGGCTTTCAGTATGCAGGTACAGAATTCTAACATCTGACTCAACACCTGGAGTGAAGAAACAGAACCTGAAGAGCCAGGATAAGGCCTCACAATCGAATTCAGAAGTGAGAGGTACTACCAGAAGCTACAAAGGGACCAGAATAACTCTCCAATGAAAAACCATCCACAGGTTCCATTTAATCCAAAATACTACGTGCTGCTTACTTCACCAAGACTTACAGGTTATAACCTGTACTTCCCTTTATCCTAGTCACTTAGATTCCTTTGCCAGTGGCAGGAGTGTAGTGTGGCTCCTAGTCTGTGACCCTGCAATATGGCTCATTTTCCAAACTAGAGTACCATGAGGGCTGGAGAGACAGCTCGGTGATTAAGAACACTGGCTGCTCTTCCAGGACCCAGGTCTGTTCCCAGCACCCATACGGTGGCTAACAATCATCAGTAACTCCAGCTCCAGGGGAATCCAATGCCCTCTTCTGACCTCTGCATGCACTGCACGATACGGGTGCACTTAAATACATGCAGGTAATACACTCATACACATAAAATAAAAATAAGTAAAAATATTTTAAAAACATTGCACTACATCATTGCTTTCTGTCTTAGTTTCTTCATTGCTGTGACAAAACACTCTGACCAATACCAACTTGGGGAGGAAAGGGTTTATTTGTCTTACTTCTCCCAGGTCACAGTTCATCAGGGAGCCCAAGGTAGGAACTCAGGGCAGGAACCTGGAGCACAGGCCATGGAGGAACGCTGCTTACAGGCTTGCTCCCTTGGCCCCTGCTCAGCCTGCTTTCTTATGCAACACAGGCCCACCTGCCCAGGGGTGGCACCACCCAGTGAGCTGGGTCCGCCCACATCACTCCTCTGTTTCTCATTTATACTTGTGTGTGTACATGTGTACCCAGAGGGGTGGGTATTAGGCACTGTTCCTTAGGAGCATCCGCCTTGCAGTTCTCACTGGCCTGCAGCTTGCCAAGTAATCTAGTCTAGCTGGTCAGTGAACACCAGGAAGTCTCCCGCCTCTCCAGTGCTGGGATTACAAATCCATGGCTTTTTTGTAGGTTCTGTCTGAGCCTTGAACTCGGGTCTGCATACTGCTAGCTATCTCCCCCAGCATATTCCCCCAACCCCCTTCTGAGACAGGGTCTCACAATGTAGGCCAGACTGAGTACTGGGATTACAGCAGGCGCAGCATACCTGCTCAGTTTAACTTTTGGTCTGTTGATCCCTAAATTTGTTTCATGATTATCTCCAAAACTACAGCAATTCTGTATTCAATCTGGCAACTGTAGTATCTCTGTATGCTTTTGTAATCAGGAATAGTGGATCTTATATTTGGTAATCAGCTCCACAAAAGCACATAGCAGGTCTACTTGCTTCATTCACAGTTTTCTTCCAAAGACTTGAAACTTTCTTATAGGTATCCAACAAGTATCCTCATTCTTCTCCCAAAATACCTGGGAAGGGTCTGGCTCTTATCTAATGAATAAACATGGGACCAATATTCAGAGCACTTGAGTGGAAAGCCCAATTGTCACTAACATTCCCTACCTATCATAGGCTGCTGGAAAACCATACCAAGTCTTTGTAGAAACACAACCTCTATAGATATAGATTCCAAACAGATTTGATACATGTTAAATTAGTCAGCTAGTCTGTGGGATGCAAGGACAAAAGAGCATTTCATTATGCTTCCTTGCTGGTCTGAGTTGTAGAGATGGAACACCGAAAAATCATAAATTCACAAACTCCTTCCTCTGTCACAAGCTCCTGAAATCTAGCAGTAACACACAGGCACACTTCATGTTAGTTATGAGCCATGAATAATATCAATTTGGTCTAGTTTCCTTGCCTATAAGACTGAGTAATGTTGATTGTTGACTACAACTCAGGGAAACAATGTGACTAATGTAAAGTGGATAGGCACTAGCACCACAAGATGCATGTGGTGGTCAGAGGGCAACCTGCAGGGATTGGCTCTCTCCTTGCACTATGTGGATCCCAGGGACTAGACTTAGGCTGTCAGTCTTGGTAGTGGCATTTTTTCAGCATCACTCCTAAAGGAAAGTTTTCAACTTTCCTAAAATCTGCAATCAAAACTAGAAGGTTTGTGTCAAAATGTTAGAACTGGGCCAGGCTTGGTGGCTCAGGCCTTTAAACTCAGCACTTAGGAGGCAGAAATAGGCAGATATCTATGAGTTTCAGGCCAGCCTGATCTACACAGGAACGCATCAATTTAGCGATCTAATCAGACCTTAATTTCTCAATGGCTGTATACATTGGATTTGTTTTGATATATGAAAAGCAATGGATTCAAAGATGAAGACCCTCGTGAAGCTATGGAAAATGGGTATTTCTTCCTAAGCTATATGGCAATTACATTACCTGACTTTCTGATACCTACAAGTGGTGCTAAATAAAGCACTGAATGAATAAATGAATGGAATACGTAAACTGAACATGGCAATGCACCTTTGTTCTACACATAACCCTACTACAATGATTCTATTTCCACCATGCTAAAAATTTAAGAATATTAAAAAAAAAAACACCACGTTTTCATAAGCATATTTTAATTTTTTTATTTTAATTCAAGTAAAAGCTAGTTAACATAAATACAGAATAATGCACATAATTTACAGCCATGTACAAAAATGCAAGAACAGCAAAACTCACATGAATGGGAGAAGTTATCAACGCCTTTGAAGTTGACTGCGTAGCTATGAGTGATTGGTATAATTTAATTGTTCACATACACCTGGGGTACATTCAAAAAGATTATTAGCATAACTGAAAAAAACTAGAATTTTCAGTTTCTAGAATGGGTCACATAGAGAAATGCAATGTACGGTAGGAGAGAGCACACCGCGTTTCATGTACTGAAAGTTTCTTTGCATTTAAATCAGAAGTGGCTATCTTCTTAGGAATGTTAAAGGTCAAGAACAATATTGGAGGATAAATAGCTGAGTATGTATCAGCCCCAAAGGGTTCCCTACAATACTAACAGTCTGGACAGAAGGCCATGTAAACAAAAGGCATGATGAAAAGAAGAGACTGATTTCTAAGCCTTCAAATTCAAATCAGTATTTCTTGGTGATTTTAAAAAGCTGAAACGTTTAGACTTTAGTAAAAGTAAACATTCATTATTTTGAACACCTCAAACAGCTCATCTTAACAATGCTAATGCATAGCAGACATCTAGCTTCAAGGGACAAAACACTGGATTAAATGACAGAATAAATGCGCTCAGGGTTTCAGAATTACAAACCAACTGGGCCTCCTCTAGTGTAGTCAGGTTGGTTCAACAGTTACAGTTACACAATGAGAATCAGGTTTCGTGGGCATGCAGGGGAGGGTCTGCAATGCCAGCACTGAAGCAGGCAGAGGCATGAGAATCAGGAGTTCAAGGTCATCCTGGGCTACATGAGACCCTGTCACCAGAACAGAAACAAAAATCACCAAACCAAACCAAAGACAGGTTTAGTGGTGCTTCCTCCCCTAGGAATTGAAAGCACTGCATGGTATTCCACAACCACAGGCTTGCAATTCAGCAACTGGAACTTTCAAATTTCAGGAAGCCTCTAAGTCACAGAAGCAGAGTTCTAGCTGCCGCTCTGTGAGGATATGCTTCCAGCAGCTACTGCTTGAACCTGAGGGAGTTCAGCTTTCCTAGACTGCAACAAAGCATACACCAAGGTCAACAGGAGCTCTCTACAGGAAAAAGTCGCATGCTCTGAGTATGCATGTCTTTTTAAACATCAGAATGGATTTAAGAAAATCTTGACATACTTTGGAGATAAACCTTATAGATAGATAGATTAGATGATAGATGGCTGATTGATAGATGATAGATAGATAGATAGATAGATAGATAGATAGATAGATAGATAGATAGACAGACAGACAGATGGTAGATAGATGATAGATAAGAGATAGATGATAACAGACAGACAGATGGTAAGAAAAAAAAAAAATCAGACTTCACTACTCCTTTCCAATTGGTACTTTATAAATACTAAGACTCTAAAACATTTGTTGGTTCAGGTACGTACACATAATACTTTAAAAGCTGAATATAATGCACTAAAGGTCAGTGTAAATTTTACTTGCTAAACACAAACAGAAAGTAAAATACAAGTTCATCCTTGAAGGACACTTGAATTAATTTGCTACAACTGAGTAAGATGTTCCTTAGCTGCTGGTTTTGTATCATTCATTACCATTCAGTGTAATACAGGAGAATGTGTCCTACACTCAACACAACTAAGCGTTACTGATCTTCACAAAGCAAATTAGGTTGTATTAGGCAGCATCAATGGCACTGGAAGAGGCAAACACGACTGAATTAGATCTCTACAGTGTAAAAACCCCACGCAGGGATTTATTTTTTGGTATGTTCCACATAATGAATGTCAAAGCTGTAATAATTCCAAAGGTAACAAAACTGAACTTGCCTTTGGTCTCCAAATAGATTGGAATATTTTAAATTCCAATTGAGCACCTCAAAAACATCCAGTTATTGTTGATTTGAAAGAAGTCAAAGTGGGAAATTTAAAGAGGGCACTGAGCCTAAACTCCACTGGTGACAGGAGAGAAAGCTTTCAATCAATGGCTTGTGGCTTTTCCATAATATTATGGCATTATACAGTACACTTAAAATAATGAGATCTCCAAAATATACCTAAAATCCAGAAAAATGTTATGAACACTGTTTCTGCCTAATACATGACAATTTAAAAAAAATTAACATGAATTCTCTAATTCCTACTCCCTCAAAAGGCCACAAAGTGCATCCACAAAGTTTTCACAGAAGTACCACACTAGAGTTCAATTGTAGAGGTTTCACATACCAGCATAGCAACATCCATAGGAAAAAAAAAAAAAAAAAATCAATCTCTTAAAAGTATTATAGCCAACAGCTTTATAATGGCAATATATAATACATTTAAAGTATTAAAAAGGTGTAGCTGACTCAATAGCAAAATTTAAAAACTGTATCCTATTAACACACTGAAACAAAATTAGACTGACTCTGTAGACCATCCAGGAAACTAGGACAGAATAAATTTGCCAAACGTACCTTACTCATTTACAAATTCTATGCCAATTGAAATTTGTGCTATCAGATTTGAGGACCATTTTCTCTAATAGTTATAGCATCCTGAATATTAATACCACTTTTCAATAAAATGTGTGAAGGGCAAAACTAAAAATTACCATTTTCTCTACAACTATAATCTATACAGACCTGGAAATAATTCAAAAGTTAAAATTCTTAATGTAAAAATGGAAAAGATTCAAAAGTAGTAAACTTTTCTACTTTTAAGTAAATGATATCAAGGTATGAGAAATATGACAATCAAATTTATAACTAATAAATTACAGAACTAAAATGCATTCATTCATACCTCATAACATTAGAGGAGCTACATTCAAGTCAGTGAAATGGTCAAGAATCAGCATTCTACTAGTTTATTTTATAGTCCCAAACTAGTAACCACATGCATTTGATATGAAGGTCCGTATTATGATAAACATGTCAGCTGTAGAAAACAAACATTTTAATGGCAAAAATACACAAGGCCACTGGCTGTCAAAATATAGTGACCACTGACACTAAATAACTTAAAATATTGTACCAGGCTCCCTCAGGGAAGTGAGAAAACAATATTCAGGATCTATCTATTGTTATTTTACAGTATCCCAGGAAATTTATAGCTGTCAATACTATCTTTGGGTAATTACAGTACAGTATATAATTAGGGATGGCTTTGCTTAGAAGATTGAGAAAAAATGCTCATGGAATAAGCACTATATTCTGAACGGCACAAATCAATAAAATACGGTAACTGGTGAACATGGTAGAGAAAATGGCAATTTTGAGAAGAATACTTGTAAAAGCATTCCCTTAGAGGTGGCCAGGGGCTTCTTCATTGAAAGACTAATGTGGTATGGTACCTTAATTCCCACAACCGAACTTCTGCTTAGGCATACATGTTCCCAAACTACTTTTCTTCTGTCCACCATGCTGGCTTCGCTATTCCATGGTCCACTGTGATCTTTTGGTCTTCCTGCTCAGTAGCACAGCTGCCCATGTTGCTATCCGTTAAGTAGGTAGACCACCAGTTCATAGGTGGCCATCATAATGGCTGTGTTTGGAATCTGTCTCACCAGATGAGTTGTCAGGCCACGGTAAAGCGATCCATAACCTTCTTCTTGAACAATCAAAAACAGTGTCTGAAAAAAAGATCTGTATTTTGTTCCTTCTTCACGTAGTCGTGTTCTTACAACTTCTGTTTAGGAAAGAAAGACAATCATTTTACTTTTACTGACATCTTCCCTGCCCCTAATCACACCAAGTATATCCCATCTGTCAGTGTAAATTCAGGATAGTGACTCAATATGTATTGAAACCAGTCAGATTACAGAAACATAAATTTCTCTATTACAAGCAAGATCATGTACACTAGGTAAAATACATGTTGCACAGATAAACAGATATAAGAATAGATATGGTATCAGAGACAAATATAGGATATATTTAAAAAAAAAAAAGAATGGAGGGAGTTGTTTAATGTGCCAATATAAAATAGCCTAGGTCTGTGACTCAACGCTTAAAATGTGGGATCCATCTCAGATGGGACCCTAGACAAATGATTCAACTTTTACATTTCTTTTTGGTTTCTCATTTGAAAGCGACAGCATACTTAATTCCCAAGATGAGCATTTTGCTATACTGGAGTCCAGGGCAAAGAACTCACTGGTATGAATGACCTCTGGCTGCTCTCTTACCATGTGGATATGCTATAGTGGTGGCACAAGTTTTTGAGGTGGCAGCAGCTAGCATCATTCTCACAAAATCTGATGCTTCCTTCACAGACTCTTCATCACTTTCTATCATAGAAGCAGTCTTACATTCCAGTAGTTTTTGTTTTATACTTTCATAAATAACAAAATGGATAACAGTCTCAGATATGCCGGCATATGAGGCAGACATGCCTCTATAAAATCCTCTCAGTCCATCTATCTGGTATACTTTACGAACACATTCAAAAGCACTCATTCGCTTTTCCCCACGGTTCCTGGAAGGCAAAAAGGAAAAATGTTGCTGACATCAAGTTTTTTTTTAAAGAATTACTTTTAATTATGTATATGTGTCCAGGTATGTACACATGAGCACATGAGTACAGGTACAAACAGAGGCCAGAGGCATCGAATCCCCTGCAGCTGAAGTTTTAGGCAGTTGAGAGCCACCTGAGATAAGGGGGCTGGGAACTGAACTCAGGAGAGTATATGCCCTTAACTGCTAAGCATCTCTCCAGTCCTACAGTAAAAAATACTTTTTTTTTTTTGAGGCAGGGTGTCCCTGCAGGCTGGCCTCTACCTCACAGAGATTTGCTTCTGTCTAAATCCTAAGTGCTGGGATTAAAGGTGAGTGCTATCAGGCCTGGCTCCCCTATTGTAGGACTTTTAATGAAGTAAATAAAATAGTAAAAAAATACAGCACTCTGTAACAACGGTCTTCTGTTAATGGGGAGAAAAACACAAACAACTACAACAAAAACAACAGCCAAATATGGACAAACATGGCATGACACCTGGCCCCAAGGTCTTACTAGTATAAATTTATTTAAAAAATTAATTAAATCCACGTTAGCTAATTTTGTTTTAAAAAATAAACTTACCTTGAGCTGAGTGTAGTGACTCACGCCTGTAATCCTAAGACTGAGGCAGGAAGATGCCTTGACTCTGAGGGCAGCCTGGGCTCCACAGTGAGTTCCAGGCCACAGGGGTTATAGTTAAGAGTCTGCCTCAAGAGACAAACCAATCCAAAGCAAACAAAAAGCATACCTCGCATCAAGCTGTAGCCGAGTCTTAATAAGCCAAATGGGGTTGGTTGCCGTGATTGCAGTAAAACCTAAACAAATATATAGAAAATAAACTTCAGTAAAAATGAACACACTATTCACATTAAGGTTCTTTAACTATACATATCTATAACAAAGAAAATATCTATAAATATTTAAGCTATTAAGTATGCCTTACACTTTTATTTTTACAATTCTGTAAGTATGAACATCTGTTCTTATTTCTAATCTACACAAATTCTCAAATTCTGGCCATAACTAAAAGATTTTTTTAAAAGCAAAATCTGATTTCATATAAAGTGTTCTCCTAACCTATAGAAGAGGGTGCTCTCTACTCTGTAAACAGAATTCATAGACCAATTCTGTGTTTTCTAGATCTATAAAGCATGCACTGTACAATAGCTACTTGGGAAATGTGATTCCCACTGCATATCACTACATGCAAAGTGAATATTTTGGTCTGTATAACAGAAACGATGATTTTGGCTAGGGATATTTTTTATAAGCATTATAACTAATACTGCCAAAATAAAAGTATTACAGACATATGGTTTCTGTTAGTATTAATAGGATGGGGTCTACTTTTATTCAATTTAACACAAATGAAAACTTAAAAGTCCAAAAAATTCCAAACTGGCATTTCCTCTCACTTGTATAAACAGTGGAGAGAGTCAGCCAAGGTAGAAGGCAGCTCTAATTTACATTAACATTAAAGTACCACACAGTAACTATTACTGCAAATCAGCAGTGCCTAGGTGGCTCAATTCCAGATAGTCAATTACCATCTCTGGAGCCGTACGTCTCTGGGATGGGAGCGTGTATTATCTTTTACTTGCCATCTTCCTGGTTTCAGAAAAATAGCAGCACACAAAATGCAATCTCAATGACAGGAATTGAAAAGATGTCGCATCTACGCAAAACAGGCTTTTCTTGTTTTTAAATTTAAGTTCAGTTATGCAAACTTCACAGAATTACTTACATCTATTCAACTAGCCATTAAATTTAATGAAAACTTACATGGAGAAATAGCTAAGGAACTTAACTACTTTAGTATTCTCTATCAAATACCATCTGGTCAAGCACATTAATTTTAGACGCACTATAATCAGCACATTTAAAATGAACAAAAATGACATCAACTATTTAGGAATAGTTCAAAAAATATATAATATATAAAATGCAGAATCAAACTTTTCTTGGCTTTTAAAGTTACTGTGAGTATATCTGCACATGAAATAATTTTACTAAATTGTTTACAAAGCTGAATTTGGTCTCATAAGGGTCTTTTCCCTTCTGTGATGTCAGATAGCTAATTCAAATTTTACTACTTTTATACAGTGCTTGAATAATATCAAAATACCCACATATCACCAAAGGGATACATCAATTAAACCTATTTAGAAGGCAAGATAAATGAAGTTTGGTTCACTAACGCTTTAAATGATTGGTTCAGAGTAGATCGTTTCCATTTGTCTTAAGAGTCTTTTCACACTACATAAACAAGAAACTATAACAAGACCAGTAATTTCTGAAGCATTAAATGATATTAAAGGTTAAATTTAAGATGTTGAGCAGGTTGTCAAGGAACATTTTTAAATGGGGGTTCTTTTCATGACTATAGTCTTGTGAAGTAAAGAAAAACATGAAATTATCAGACTGCTTTAAGTATTTGTCTTGCATGGCTTAGTTTAGTTGAGAACAAAATTATACTGCTATTCTCTTCTTTTGAAATTCATTTTTCTAATTTAAAAGGTTAGACTAAAGGTATTCAAATTATATTTATCAGACATCGGTATTGGTCAAAACACAGTTCCTTGTTGGTGCAGAATGAACATATGCCAGGCAAGTGCTCTACTATAAAGCCACACCCCTGGTCCCAATTCTTATTTAAAACAAGAATCCTACTTCTTAAATATTTATCTTAGCTAGATGTCTATACAGTAAAATTAAGGCTTTCTAAGTGAAAAGCTGGGAAGCAGCATAAACCCACAAAATTATTCTACATTATTTGCAATGTTTTAAATTATATATTAAGAAAAAAACTTTTAAAAACAAAACTTAATTTAAAAGTCCCAAAGTAGAAATCTTCTTATCATACTTTTAAAATGCTATCTAAGCAAAGAGTTTCATTCAATTTACTTTTTAAAAAAAGATGTAATCACCAGTTTTAAATTTTAAATAAAAGTTTTATTTCAGGTTTCTGTCCTTGATAGTTTTCCAGGTCGTAAAAAAATCTCGATTTTAGGCTGGGACAATCACATATAAAGTATTTATAAATATTACTAGGAATAAAAAAATGTTTCAAGACTCAAAAATGGTAACTTTAGTATTTCTCTGTAAATAGATGTTAGAAAGCAAGTCACAGGTATTTCTCACTTAATTAAAATTCATTTCCAGACACAATAAATATAACAAGTCAACATTAAAATATATGTAAACAAGAATGTTATCTCTTATCTTTGTTTTTATAGTGAGCTATGCTTATTTTAATTGTTCTGGTTAAACTCTTCCAATAACTAGAACTAGTTCTTAATACAGAAACTAGCCTGTTACAATACTACTTATTAGCTTGGATACAGAATCTAGGGACACTACAAGTTTTTTACCAGTGAAAAGTGCTGGCTGGTCCTTGAGTGTCATGGTATTACTTTATCTTAACCAAAAGTAGCAAAGCAGACATTATTAGGCTAATTATATCTGGAAAACTTAATCATTAATTCAAGATATATAACGGAATTAAACAAAAAATTACTGTCCATGGAATTGTATGTATTAAGGCAATTTGAGGTTAGCCATGACTAAATACATCTTCTTACTACATCTAAGACAAGCACATACAAAGATATTGGGAGTTGTGCTCCTGAAGTTTAGAAATTGCCTATTACTTATTTTTCATTTTAGTTTTTTTGAATTTGATAATACGTTAATTTATATTAATATTCAGAACACTCATGAAACATTAAAACAAACTGAAGAGTAAAGTGAAGGATACAATGGCAGATTAAGAATTTGTCTTGTTCCAGAATCAGTTAAAGCAAAGTGCCAATATGGGCTTTTGGTTAGTAGTGTCAGTGCTTTACTGGAAAAAAATTTAAATGCCAATTTTTAAGTTATGCTTTATATGAAACTCTACTTCATAATATAAATCATGTGAAAACCATGCAAACAAATCTCACCTAGAGTAAACTTGCTGAAAATGTTTGAGTGACACCTGCAGTATTGCATTTTCAGTACTTATTTAATTCTGTAAGAACAAAGCCTACACCTTAAAAGTAACAAAACTATTTTAAAAAATTCAAACTAGACCAGCTAAGACCCCATATCCTATATCTTGCACTTCTTTAAAAGTAGTGACATCATGATCAATAATTTTTATAAGTGCAGAAAGCAAAGTGTCAACAGATAAAGAGTGGAACACACTATAAAGACTTGTACCCCATTCTTCCTTCTAGAAGGATTATACAGGGACCAGAATTAAATCTTTATGAAACACTCAATGCACACAAATTCAGGAAATAAAAATTCATTTCCCGCCTTCTATGCATTCCACAGCTATTATAAAATCCCAGGGTGCTTCTTATACTAGAGGCTGCAAGAGATGCTCAGATCAGTACTCACGAGGTTTAAGTTAGTCCATATTTCTACAGGAAGTGACCTGCGGATGGGGAGCATGAGATGACACGATCTCACTCTTTTCTCGGGAGAAATGTACAGTAAATGCCTAAAATAGACACAGGCTTTTCTATATCATAACAACAAGCAGTGACCTCATCAGATACATGTGTACAAACTGAATCCCACTGGAAGGATCTGAGAAATATTTACTGTGAGATCTTTTTTTTTTTTTTTTAAGTTAAGAAAAAGAATATCAGAATGGGCCATATTGCTTTTTATTATGAAAGTGCATAGAGTACTGAAAATCCCGCCATCTTCAGCAGTTTCCAAGTCCAAATACTTACCTAAAGGATGATCAGTTTTGTCTTAAAGAAAAAATGCTAACCTTGTGAAAGGGAATCTAAAAAAAAAAAAACAAAATCTAGAAGGGATTGGATGTCCCATTTCCTACCACTATTATCTACCATGAAAAGAGCTGTAAACACTTAGCTGTTCCTTAATAATCAGCCCATGTAAAGTGACCGTTAAAAAACATAGAAATAAGAGCCCCAACAGAATATTAAAGTCTGGAACTATTCATAACTTTTTGATAAAGTATATGCTGCTAACAGTAGTACCTTTCACCTTTTGAATCTAGCAGTAATATTGCACATCCATACTTATGGAATATTTTGGATTACTTTGTATTAATTTCTTGTGTTCTACAAAACAGAAAACAGGAAACATTCACAAATAAACATACAAAGCAGCTGTCCAACCATCATTTGGCTGATAAATCTTTCAGGATAAATAAAATATTGTTAAGGCAAAATATGTATTTAACCAGTTGAAAAAAAACAAAACCTAATCTTAAATAATGAAGTTTGAGTCACACGGAAAAATAGAAAAAAGTAACAGTGTATTCTGTAAGCAAATACTACTAAGTATTCAAACAACACTAAATGGCTGTATTGCTGATATATTAAAAATTGAGCTCTAAAGGTGTTTACATCATAATAAAAATAGGAATTTTCTTTACATTTATGTTACATACAAAAAAGTATGTGCTTGCCAGATCAAAACTTGAAAATTGGGAATCACTGTAAAGAAAGCTTATACAACTTTTTGTATACAATAGGTTCCTAAGTGCACTCAGAAAGATATTTTAGATTAAACCAAACAGACACAAGCCAGATAGATATACCCTGGATAGCTTGGGTAGTAAACAAAACAGTGACAAAGCTCATGTGTTAAGAGGGGTGGGAGGGATGACAAGTCAAACAAAACTGTCAACATTACATTAACTATTCTTGTAGCTGTAAACATGCTTCAGTGCAAAAAAAACCAGTTCAATTTTAGAGGTGCAGTCACTTGACTTGCAACACTGGAACAAATGAAAAGGCCCTTTAACAGTACTTCTAATTAATTTTAAATAAAATGTTTCTGTTGATTTGGATAAAATACAAAATGAAACAAATAAAAAGGATGCCTATTCTGTGTGTACTGGCTGGGGACAAAATCTCCGGGTAATATTGCTGTCTATTTCAATGCATTTTTAATACTACAGTGACAAGGTTAGCATTTTTTTCTTTGAATAGCCACTTTAAATATCTTTTTCATGACTATCTTTAAGTACTTTGCACCCCTAAATCATGCACATTTTAGATTTCCAAAAATTTTCCTGAAGAAAAGCTAGAGCTATCTGGTGTAGATTATATTAAGGACAAAGGGAACAAAAGGCTACCTGAATCAGTGCACTGGACTGTTCAGTTTTACCAGCCATGTATAGTTAACGTATGAAAAACTGCAGAGCTAAATGTCAATGCTAATTAAAAGTGCAAGAAGCAGAGAAGGTATAATTTTCAGGACACTGTAACTACAAATAAATGGAAGAAATATTTTCAAATTACACAGTAAGTGCACAGTGCAAGAATTTCTGAATAAGAATAAGATTATCAATTTATCAAAATTCAAGGAATTCAATTTGGAAAACAATGCTAGATAAAAAGTTATATATTTGAGAAAAAAACAAAACCAGTTAATACTTTGTTGAACTGCTTTGCCATGCAATACAAATATAGTAATAAATCCTGATAAAATAACATGTTCCAGTAGAATTTTGATACTTTGAACCTCTAATTTTGCAACGTTCAATCCATAACAAACACTCCCAACTTAAAAATGGCTGCTTATCTAGTTTCTTGATTTCAATTCTAAAAAAAAAAAAAAAAAAAAAAAAAAGCCCCCAAAACATTAACATTTCTTCTTCTTAGCTTTCTAGAATTCAAAACAAAACCACAAACACGACTGCTCATCATCTAGTAAAATATTCTTAACACAGCAGTTACTGGGTTTATAATTGTCCCAAGTTTCACCTGATAGCCAGTCAAATTGACAAGAGTAAAACATCCATAATTAACACCTGTAAGAGGTGCATTTTAAAAAATTCTAGCTGTACCTAAAATTACTATCACACTAAGAAATCTTCAAAATGTCAATCCAATGACTGATCAATCAGTCCACTTACTCCACCGATAAGGTAACAGAGACTTTTATCAATTACCTAACTTGCTCAAGAGCTCCAGACTGGCAAATAAGAGGATACTATGTTGACTTTAAACACTGCCAGTTCTAGTCTCAAAACTTCAGAGAAATTAGTCAACAACTGCGAAACATAAAAGGCCCTGAAAACAATTTGTAAGGAATATGCTAGATTATATGCTCAAGATTATCATTTTTTTTCACAAATCGTTATTTCAAACTTAGTTGGGTAAATAAATATGTTGTTCAAATTGATCCAATTTATTCTAAACAGAAAACGATCCACAGTTTACAGCACTCTTTAAGCATATAACTGACAATTTATTGACCAACAGCTGATAAAAGCACCTACGGTTTTCTTTATTAAGTCACGGCATAATTTGGAAATGTGACGTAGGTTAGATATATAACAAATCTAAGAAAATTGGAGAGAATTTTCTATTAAGTACCAAATCTATTAAGAACTAAAATTCAAGGCTTTGTCTAACATGCATGGCAGCAAATGATTCCAGAACCAGAGTGTTTGTAAACCAGGCTGTACCACTTACCCTCTTAAGAGGTAGTTAGTGCAGAGACCTGGGAGTCATTTTCTGATTCAGAGTCATATTCAAAACATTTCTGCACAAGCATGTAGACACAGTCAGTGTCTAAAGCTCAGGTGCTAGTATGTAGTCTGATTTATATGGAATGATAAACATAATTTTAAACATATACATATTATAGTAACTAAGTTATACATCACTCAAAAATTGCAGCAGTTGAGCACAAAATGAATACTTTACCAAGTATTGGCGGCACATTTCAGACAGAAGCCAAAACATGCAGCAAAAGAAAGGCACTAACAGAAATTGAGAGAACAGTAATTACAGCTCTGTAACTTACAGTGCAATTATGGTTGGATTCTTAAAACTTAAAATAATCATTAAATATTAAGAAGACTACACAAAGCAGTTTAAATATATTATCTGTATTGTCACTTAACTCTTAATTACAAAAATGCAACAAAATTTTACATGTATTTAATCAAATGTTTTATTCACATAAACAAAAATAATCTTTGTAGATTCTAATAATTAAAAAGCACATTAATCTTAACTTTTTAATATAATCATCATAAAATATTAAGTCTCGAGGTTTTAGAAAATTTTTTTATATAGTAAACATTCATACCTGCCATTGCAGCTGAAATCATGTGTACCCGGGTAGAATCAGGATCAAAAACACCATTCAATTTTTCCTTGCAGTTTGAATAAGCAGCAAAGTATATTGCTCTAAAATAAAAAATTAAATTAATAAAACACAAAATCTTCATTTTGGAATGAAAAACATAAAAAGCATAGTCTTAGTCACATTAACCATAACAGATATACACATTTTCCCCCCATGAATATCCTAAAGTACTTTTAAACTCATTTTAAAAAGTCAAAACTCAGGCTGGTGGTGGCACACACCTTTAATCCCAGCAGAGGCAGGCGATCTCAGTGAGTTTAAGGGCAGCCTGTTTACATAGTGAGTTCCAGGCCATCTGGAGCTACAGGGAAACCCTGTCTCAAAAAGACAAAAAAAAAAAAAAAAAAAAAAAAAAAAAAAAAAAAAAAAAAAAAGTCAAACTTAGACCAGGTGTGGTGGCACTTCCCTTTAATCCCAGCATTTAGGAGGCAGAGGTGGATCTGAAGCCAGGCTGGTCTACATAGTGAGTTCCAGGTCAGCTGGGTTATAGGGAGGTTGTCTCAAAACGACTGAAAAGAGGGACAAACTCAAATGTACAGTTCCTAGCATCCACTCTCAAACCAACCAAGCCCTCTTCAATACAGACAGCCACCTAACAACTAACCAAAACAAAAAGTACAAAATCCTGATGACCAGAAGCTCCACACATCATCAGTTGGGCTGTGATGTTTGTACAGTGCTACCTCAGAAGTCAGTGTATCTAACCCGAATTAAGTGAATGCCTGGGACAGCACTTAGATGTATATTTGAGGAGAAGCTGAATGAGTCTATGTTCAGCAACTTTGAGATACTATGGTATATTCTAATCTATACTACAAAGATCCTGAGGACACTCACAGCATTCTATTTTTTTGGTATTTGAAATCTAAGCCTTTATCCCCTTTACATAAGTCAGTGTATCTAACCCGAATTAAGTGAATGCCTGGGACAGCACTTAGATGTATATTTGAGGAGAAGCTGAATGAGTCTATGTTCAGCAACTTTGAGATACTATGGTATATTCTAATCTATACTACAAAGATCCTGAGGACACTCACAGCATTCTATTTTTTTGGTATTTGAAATCTAAGCCTTTATCCCCTTTACATTTCTT